ACAATAAGACTCTGTTAAGTCGATTAAGTTATGTTGCTCAGAGGAGTGGGTTTTTTACACCACTGAGCGATGTAACTTACATCTACCTAAGTGGTAGTATAGAGATCTGCTCCAATAATTACCTTCTGATTGGGTGGTATGTTTCCGGTAAGGCACAACAACTCATCAAAACACTCCTCTTTTACCTTTTTGATCCTCTTCCCACATACTGTATGGATAGTTACCTCTTCCCAACACAGTTTTACAGCTAGCAGTTGGTCTGACATTCTGGTAACCACGATCCTATGCCTCTGGCATTATTATGGATGAAACCGTGCAATGTCCTTTCAGAAGGTTGAACCTCCTGAATTTTGTAACCTCTATCGGTATCTTGGCTTTGCAACCTTTCCATTTGGTCTCTTGTACACAGGCAATATTTACTCTTCCTAGGTGTGTCGCCTGCTAAAACTGATGAGTCCCACCTGCCCCAACAAGACTTATCCAATGGTATAAGAAGTTTTTTCCAATAGTATAATTTAATATATATTCTGAGCCAGTCATTTCATTGATGCGAAGCTGTGGGCATTTCTGTTGCAAAAAATAAAATCAATGAAAAAAATTAAATTAATTTCTAATACCCATGAAGAGAGAGAGGTTGTCAGTGCTTATCTAGCACCTAGATACTACACTGTTTGGTCCAGATTTCTGCACAGCACAGGAGGGATGGTTAGTTTAGTCTTCATGGCAGTTTGGTCCTTCGATTCTCAGACTGCAAAAAATGGGGATTTTTCATTCAGCTTTTTTGAGATCTCCTTATGCAGAATATTTATTTGTTCTCTTAAAAGCTGAATAGAGTGGCTCAGGAGATCGTCACCCCAGCTATGCCATAAGCTTAGAAAGAGGCTGAAATTATTATCTATCTATATCGATATCGATATAGATATAGATATTAGAACAAGGGTTCTCAGACTTATTTTCATAGTGTGGACCACATCTTAATAGAGAGATGGGCTTGGGGAACACATCCTGTCATATTTGCAATCATGTCATCTCTGTGGCACGCCAGCAATTGTTTGGGGACATAGTCACTGCCATAGTAGATCAGACCAATGGCCCTTGTGGCCCAGCATTAGTCAGCAGCACCAACAGTTGACATAGAAAGGTAGTATTAGGAAAGTATTTAATGCATTTCTAGCTTTACATTTTTCTAAAAAAAAAAGTTTAGCAGGTGGAAACATGGGGGAAAGGCACCAGGACATCAGCTCTCTGCCAATCGCAGTCAAAACTCCTGAACAACAGGACAGCAAGGTATTCCGATGCTACGGTAAAGTGTGGCATATAAATAGATAGAGAGAAGGGGAGAGCAAAGCAACTTTCAGAAGTACGCAATCTCTATTAAATGGGTTCACATTTATCATTCGCTACTCTCCATCACCCTGTTAGCTGACATGTTAGAGTTAGTTAAAGTATGTAACTCATCATACTTCATCATAGAATTATTTCTCCTTCGTGCACAGTGGGTGGATACACAGAAAAATAACCCATGACAGAAACCTAAAAGCCCAAAACAAGAGATGTGTTTATGCCAAATTCTGTCCTGGTTTACCAGGTATATAACCATAATGAAACGAATGGGGCTACATGCGGTGTAGGTCACAGCAGCATTTTTAGGCTTTAATTTGCTCCCTATTTTTTTAATACAGGATTTATTTTAAATTTAATTATTTTGTTCTCTATTTTAAAATCATTATGAACAGACATCTGGGTTTTATGGCCTGGTAGGATCTTTTAAGCCTTGTGCTGTTCAGACAATCAACTATTTCAAGCTGTTCTATGTGCTGACCTTCAAAGCTGGAGTAACAGTAACAGCAACAGCAGCAGCTTGGGGAGAATCCAGTATTTTCTGCAAAGCCAGGATTTCAAGAAAACAATTTTCTTTTTAAATCTGAGAAAAGCTTTAAAGTCTTCAGCCCCCCTGCCTCATCACACAAACAGCTGTTGCTGACATATCAACTTTTGTGCTGCACACCATGATGGCTTAGACTGAGCCACATCTATTGTCTTGAAGGCTTTTTTCCACCTCAGACATGGTCTTGAATGCTGCAAACAGAATCCTCTGAAACTCTTCTACCTCAAATGCAAAAATACTGTTGCTCACTTCTTACCAGGGTGGCTAAGTTTGAGTGGGAGGCTAGAAATGTTCAAGGCTGATATAATCAGTTTTAATTAAATGTTTAAACAATAATTAAACTAACCATCCCATTACTTGTCTTCACTCTTTCATGGACTGATTAATGGAAGATAATGTCACTAATGAACGGACTGTCATGGTATCATGTAGTATAGCACATCTCAGAGCCAGTCAGATTATGCCATCAAGCTAAATCACTTCATAATGTTTCATTGCTTAGCAGACCTCTAGGCAGGAGGGACATGGTCCTTGAGTGGTACTAGCTTAACATTTTTTTTAATAAAAGATATAAATCCTCACGAGTCAGGGCACAAGCCCGCCAGCATCTGCCTGAGTGCAGAAAAAACATCCCCTTGGGGCAAGTGTTTGGTTTTTTTGTAATAATTTTCCAGGGAGGGTTTTGATAGAACTGTTACGACCATTTGTGAAGTAATGGCTTGAATGTGCCAGTCATTTCTATTGGACATAAAATTATTAGTAAGCCAACAGTGTAGGAACTGAGTCCTGCTATGTTAGCCACAGATGCAAAGAAGACAACAAGCAGCCCTTCACTCAGATGCTAAGAGGGCTGCAAATGTGAGCTGAACACTTCCAGTTGTGTGAATATACCATCAAAGCGAGATTGGGGGTGATCAGATGCGAAAGAACAAGCACTGATATTCTGTCTTCATTGGAAGGTAGGAGAGGGGCCTGAGGGTAGAGGAGAAAAGGTGGCTTTAAGACTTTTCTGACCAACCTGGGCCACCTTTTGTCTATACCAGGCACTTATATAATTTTACAATCATCTAAGGACAGCCATAGGGACCACTTTACTAGCAGAGGATTAAGCAGAGCACAATGCACTCCACCACTACCGTCTGTCCTATGCTGTACTGTGCCACCCAAGGAATCTCCTGCAGCGGAGAGAATTCTTGGCTGCCCTTGAGTGTGGTTAGGCTAGTTGTTGGCCCTCAGCTATTTAGCCAAACCATGGAGTACAGTCCTGAATGGATATGGGAACAGACCGAACAGACCACTACCCTGAGAGGAGGTGGTGAGACTGCTATGAAGATGTACCATAATCAAAGAAACCTGAAACGTACAAAACTCCTTGATGGGAGTGTACAGGGAGATTTTGGCAAACCAGTAAAGTGCCTGAAACCACTATGGCTTATTGTTAAAAGCAGCCTATGCAGCAGTCTTAGCTTGACCAAGACATGAGGGGAAGGGGTTTGGGGTGCCACAGAAAGGGCAGCTTGGCCCCACGTCCTTCCTGATAAGAATTGTGTTGAAGTTGCTGATACATGCATTTTAAAAGAGCAGGATGTGCCCCAGGAATGTCTGTTGGGGTCTCAAGGTGGCCAACTCTGGAAAAACCCACACCTGGTTAATCAATAATCAGAAGGAACCTCTTGCTTGACCATTGAAACTGCTTATTTAACAAGTTTTCTTTACGGGACATGTCATTCTATTACTAATGTATAAATAAGGGGGAAAAGTTTGAGATAGTTGGACTCTCCCTTTGGATACATCTTGCAGTCCCCACCGGAAGCCTGCCGCTGTGTCACCTGAGAGCCACATTCAGCTTCAGTAATTATCAAGGGTTGGGGGTGTTTTACTAATCTTGTTGCGGACGTGTGTAAGAGCTTGAGACTAAGTAAAGTTTAGCTTTAAGTGAAAGCACTCTTGTGTTGTCCTGTTTGTGCCAGCCATCTATCGGTCACACGGCCGTATCGCCCTGATTTATTTCCTGACACCACCTCGCATAGAGTAAAAGTTACCAAGAGCTTTGTGTTGAAAAAACTCCGGTTAACAGGAGCAGGGGACAAAGAACCAAAACTCTGTCTCTAACAGACTGGGCAGCCAGAAGACTCAGACGGGAGTGAAAAAATGCATTCTGGACAAAATGTGGGGTGGCTTTGTTCCGGTAATTAAAATCTATCATGCCTTTGTGGCTCAGCTTTAGCAAAGTGTAAGGCTAGATACTATAGCTTTTGTTTGTTAGTCTTTAGCCTGACTTTTTTTCTCTGTGTACTTGGACCATTTGAGTCTTTTATAAGAGTTGTGCACAATTCTCAAACAATCCTGCGAGGTGAAACAGTTCCTAGCCCCTGAGATGAAATTGGCAAGCTTAGTACCTACACTACTTAGGACCCTTTGGCAAAGTAGGGCACTTGTGGGACCGTCTGCTAACAGACACAAATAACACCTATTGATCATAGAAGAGACACAAATTTAAGGGGCCAAAAGAAATTATGGCCATTGCTGGTGATCCTGGACTACATAGAACTTTGGTCATTTTGGCAACTCCTACATATCCTACCATTATAAATGAATGAACTCAGAGAGATGAATAGGTCTTTTCCATCCCCAACTCCAATGAGCCTAATTTATATACCTTTAGGAGTATACTGAATTAAAAAAAAAATTGTCTGAGTGAAGGTGTTGTCATGTAAAGCACATTTGTTAAGTTAATGATTGTGGATATGATCAAATGGTCTACAGAATGACCATAAAGTAATGTATTACCCATATTACCTGTTCAAATCTCACAAATTGATTTCTGTAATATAATGTTGCTACAGAACTGAAATCATAAATACAGAAGTCATGGAAAGGAGCATAGCAATTAATTTGTGTCATCATGGAATCAATATTGTAGGAGGTAGCCTGAACCAAAAAAATGTCAGTGATATTTTTTAAAATTTATTAAAAAGATGGTAGTGCTTTCTATAAGTATACTATTGGGATTAACGTGTAAGGAATTCTTAGGCCATCGGAGAAAGTGGTTTAGTTTCCTGTTCATAGGTCTGCCTTGTTTCTGGTGCAAATTCTCTGTTTCTTTCTCTAGTAACTGAAATTGGGATTTTTTTTCTGCTGCTCCCACTGGAGTCCCTGAGAACAGAATCAAATCCAAATCCACGATCTACCATTTCTATTGTGTGCAAAGGTATGTAAATAGGTTTGATGTTTTCCATCTTAGCTCACCAAAACAATTCTATGTACAGCTTCATAGCTGTAGCCAGTCATATACTATACACCGTACGACCTACACATTTAATTTCCTCTGAGCAACCTTTTGTTTGTTCTTCATGAGGAGCTTTATTAACCTCCTGCTAGTTTGATGATGTAACTGCACCCACTGTGTTAGTGATCATAGTGTGTGAAATGACTCCTTGGGAGATCAGTAGTGTGCTTCAAGTAAGGGGCAATGGATTGCCTGGTATTGGCAGATATTTAAAGTAACCAGCTATATTCAGTATCTGCATGCAAATTTTAATTAGCAGACTGGATTTCTACAGCTAGGGTTCCAAAGAGAAGTTAGTGAAAAATGTAAGCAACCAGAAAGATAAGAAAAGCTGTATCATTTGTAACCTCATTCTGCCCTTTATGGGATTGTGTGTATAACTGATGGAACTGCAGGGCAATCTGTATCTGAGGCTGGAATGTGGTTCTTTGTTTTGGACTTTCTAAGGGTACATCTATACTACCCGCCGGATCAGGGATTGACTTATCACATCTCGTCTAGACACAATAAATTGATCCCTGAATCGACGCCTGTACTCTACCTTGTCAGGAGCAGTAAGAGGAGTCAACAGGGGAGCCGCGGTGGTCGATTCGCCGCCGTAAGGACAGCCAGGTAAGTCAAACTAAGATACTTCCACTTCAGCTACGCAAATAGCGTAGCTAAAGTTACGTATCTTAGTTCGAACCCCCCTGCTAGTGTAGCCCAGGTCTAAGACAAAACTCTGAACCAAACTAGCATGGAGTCTGCTCTGTGCAGCTCAACAGCCATGCCACATAGGCAGTTGTACATATCAGCGTGTGGTGGTTTCCAGCTGTTTTTATATTATTATTGGTTATCACTCAAACTGTTTTTATTTTTGTTCTTTAATATTATTGTGTGAAAGTCAGACATTGAGAATGTAGTTGGGTCTATGCAAATAGCCCCACATAATTCTTTGAGTGCACTTCTAGTCTCATCTGCATTACCATTTGTGATGTCAGTACTAGAACGCTGAATATAAGATGCTAGCTGGGCCAAATTGTGTGGTGACTTTTCTTATTTGAATTCATTCCATTTTCATGTTGTTTTTTTATAATCCAAAGAACAGCCCTATATGTTCAGCCTGAAATAACTATTTTTTAGGCTTTGCTAAATTCAATTTTTCTTTAAAAAAAAAATTTCAGTTGATGATATCAAGGCTTATTTTAAAATTTTTTTTTTATTGATCTAAATGTTCAGTTGTGGAAAATTATGGTGGCTTAGACAATTTAATGACCAACGCAGAGATTCAATAAGTTAACTGTCAGACAGAGGACTAGAGAACTCCCAGTGATGTGAAATGTGTATAACACACTGTCTAATTATATTAGAGGTGAATTTTGTGGTGTCTCGGGTAGGTAGGCATAACTAATAATAATTTCTGTGCTGTGCAAGCTCTGGGAAGTGAGATGGTGGCTGACAGAGATGGTCCCTGAGAGTCCAAGGCCAAAGAGAAGGGAGGGAGAAGAGTTCTTACAGGGCGTTGCAAGGATCCAAGAGAAGCGAATCTAAACAAACACTTTCTTTACTTTGCTTTAGGCAACAAGCCATTTGGAGTTGGTCATTCTCCTTTGACCCATCTTCTGCTTCATGTGCTTATGAAGCGTCTGGCTGTACTGGTTATGAACCGCTGTTAAGTGGGGACAAACACAAATCTATCTTTGATTAAGTCCACATCAAAAGCAGTGACAGCCTTTCTTGGTCAAGTCCTGTGACAGGGGCCTGGATTATTTCACGCAGCTTGAATCTCTGAGCAACTTTGAGCTGTCCTACCTCAGTTGGACCCAGATCACGACCCATTTGGAAATCTTTAACAAACAGCTGGCCAACCCTTTTACTTCTCTGGCCAGACTCATCTTACCCTCCCCCCGCTATTGCTCATTTCTCCCTTAGCCTGCATGTTCTCTAACATCTTTCCGCCTTTGGACTCTGATCCTCCTGTTGGGAAGGCAGAACAGCGCACAGATTCTTCCGACTGCTGGCTGGGCTCTGAGGCAGCCAGAAGGTTTCCTAGGGGATGAAGGACTTCAGAGCAGCCCAAATATCTGCAAGAAGCACAAGGAGCCTCTTTGTGCCTAGCTGTGAAGCAGTCTTAACAAAGTAAGATTTCAAAGGCCTTGTGGGAGCGCAAATGAGCCCTCCCCACCCCACCAGATAAGAATACCAATACCAGGGGTCTCCCACATTGCATGTGAGTACCTTAACTACTGAGCTAAAGGGAATGAAGGAGGTCCTAGTTTCTCATTCCCTCCCCCCAACCCTGTGTGGCCATTTTTTGTGGAGTTATGAGCCTGTCTGCAGGGCTTAATATGGTAGATGTGCTCAGAGGCTGCCTATTTCTTCCCCTCCCCCCCGAGTTTATGAATTGCACTAGGGCTTAGGCACTTGGCGTGAGGCAGAAGCCCACCTGTTCAGAGGCAGAAACATGGGCACTTTTACTGCAAAAAGTTTAAGCTCCCAGTGAGTCTAGGCACTTATAGGGTTAGGCAGCAGCTGAGTGGGGGGGTTGTGTATGAATACCAATGGTGAAGATGCACACTTGGTGTCCGTGAGTGACAACTATTCTGCCAGCTTGCTTCCTGGTAGGTGGAATGGATATTGTGTGTCTTAGGTGTAGGATAGGAGAAGAGAGATTAAAAAATAAATAAATTTCCTTCGTCTATCTAGGTATGTGTCACAGTGGGTATGTACTGGTATCTCTTCACTTTTTTACCTTTATGTTGTTGGCCTTTCAGTGGAGGGACCATGTCTTGCTCCTCTTTTGTATAGTGCCTAGCACAGGTAGGCACCAATCCTAACTGGGTGTTACCACAAGATAAATTGTGATTAAAAATAGTAATTTTGTAACAAAATTTATTTTTGCTCTGTAGATACAAATCCCAAACATCAACAAACAAAATTCCAGTGGAAAAATACTAGCCATTAACAATGAAAACTTATTTAATAAATAGAACTTTGGCATTCAAAATTCTAGCTGTAAACCCTACTATAAAAAAATTACAAAAAGAGGCAATAACCACAGAGCTAAAGGTGAGCCACCCAGTGGCGCCTTTTACTTTTTACACTGAATGCATTTTGATTAAGTCATGACAACTCTATTTACACATGAGGTATTCTGAGCGGTTCGAAAACAGAACCCAATTTACATAACTACCAGCCTTTGGGGACTAAGCCAGTACATGTCAGCTGTGCTTTTAAAAGTTAGACTCAGCCCCTCCTCTCCACTGATTACCAATGAGATATTGTAGTTAATATATACAAAATTATCATTTTGATTGAATTTCCTGCTCACTCTTCCTGTCAGAAAAACTGGACTGCTAAAATCACCTAACTTACAAGATGTATGCCTAGTACCTATAGCATTTAGTACATATTTCTAGATATTATGCAAGAGGCTCCTTAATGTCAAAGCCTAAAAACAAAAGATCCGTAGTTAGAGCAAACAAGGTGCAATAATTATTGACATTCTTCTAGCTCAACTAAAATTCATTGGGACTATATACATTTACTGAAGGCAAAAAAGGCACAAAGGTATGCAGCAGTGGAATTAATACTGCTGATCAGCTGTCATACAAAATCTGTTTATATAATCTTCAATAGCCACTGGTTTGTTTTCATATTTTAAAAATGTTGATTGTTTGAAGCAATCAATCGAAATATTTCCCCATGCATCAGAAAAACCTGTTGTATCAATTCCATTAAAAGAACAAAATTCTAATTCCAGTTACGCCCATGCAGCCCCACTTATGTCATTGAGGGTAACATAAGTGAGGGCAAAATTCAGGTGTCAGGTACCTGAAGAGGGATTTCCCTCCTTCCTTGTATCCTCTTATCTTTAAAAGAGCAAGCAGGATAATTTTTTCCTCTAACTGAAAGTGATAAATCTTCAGAAATGAGCAGAGCAAAAGAACTTTGGCTCTTACAGCTACATCTATTGGCAGTTTTAAAATGTTGTTGCCTGAGTTGGTGGTCATAGCAACCGCAATAAATTACAGAAGTACATCACTATAAACCTACACATCTGAGGCTAAGAATCTAAGTTAAGTTTGCACAATTGAGCTGAACTACTTATATACAGTAAATACATAGCATCTTTTATAGCTTGCCCAAAGACAACTACTTCCCAAGCCATTTTTAAAATACATTCTTGAATACAGTAGTTATTTACTGTAAGTATCACCTAAAGGATTGTAGAAATTAAACTGAAACTATACAAAAATTGCTGTACTCGTTTCTCTGTAAGTCCACTATTAGACAGAATGGGACAGTATCCACTCATTAGACATTTTTTTTAGCCCTTGAGATTGTCTCTAAGTTATGGCAAAAAGTTGTCATGACTAAATCAGTTTCAGTAATGCCACTGTTAACGTTTGTTAATCAACCATATCATATTAAATATGTCGAATGAGACCACACACACTCTACTTTTTAACCAGTTAAACAATCATGCATATCTTACTTAGACAAAGCTTATTCTGTTTGGAGACATCTGTAAACTGATGCATATATAACAATAGCTCCTACAACAGCAGGCCCAATTTTAAGAAATCAAAGAAAAGGAAAAATACTTATTCTTTGTGGTCACTTAATTCTAACCTTATCAGTAATTTGTATCTTTGGCTCATCACATCTGCCATTTCTCTCCCTGCTTTAATTTGACTGAGGCAGATAAACTCAGTGTTACTTTAAAAATCAAGTGCTCTATATTTTAATGTAAATACAATTGGTGCTCTAATATAACAGAGAAAAAAATGCAGAATTACAGCATCATCATTCACAATAGTGCAACTAAAAAAAATAAATCAAGACTTTCATACTGGGAGAACCTTCTATAATACTTTTGAACCATAGAACTTCTTTCCAAGGATCTCTAAGTGCTTTATAAACATTAATTTATTAATCACAACTCCCCAGTGCAGTATCCCCATTTTTGAGATGGGGAAACTGAGGCGCAGAGGTTAAGTGACCTGCTGAGCATCACACAGGGAGGTCCTGGCACAGATAAAAACAGAATCTGCTGTTCCCTTCTGTAACACTACACTACTATCCCTCCAATATGTGCCTATGCGATTTAAAACAGCAGTACATTTCCCTTTTATAGGCTGATTTTTTGTGTGTCTTTTCTGCTTATTGAAGTATGGTGTTGCTTAGACATGGATTGCCTCCCTTTTACCCCACCAAATACTCTTAGTTGACTGTCTGAAGTCAGTCATGTTGAATTCCTGACACTAGACAAATTTGCTATAAACACAGGATAATGACTTCACTTCAGGGCCAAGCAGAAAGAAAGTGAAAGTAAGTAGTTATTAAAACTACTAATCAAAACAGCAACCACTAAGTTATAGGCAAAGAGTCCTTATTTTCAGTTTTGCCCTAATGTGAAAGTCCCTCTTTAAAGTTGTGTCAATAATTCTTCTACAAACTCCAATTTTTAGGCAATTAAAAAAAAACCCCTAAAAACCAAGTTCTGGGCAAAAAAATAGCTTCTTTCTTAGCCCCAGAGTATTTTTTAAAAAATGTAAAGATTACGCTGTTCATTTGTAAGGATGGAAGACTTAATGCTCCCAAAGTTGCTGCTTCAGTCTGAGT